ATTTGAAGGGACTAAAGATCAAGACTGTTAAAAGTAAAAGGAAGGAATATAAAGTTGGTTTATTTGATCAAGGTTAAAAGAGATATGTTTATCTCTGGTAACTTTTAATGGACTTTTGCTGACATCAGGACTGAAATGATGAGGCTTTAAGGATTTGTTTATAGATAAGAGATGGAATATGGGAAGAAGAGATAATTTGTTATATTTTAAGAGAAGGTGATAAGTTACTAAAATTGTTTATACTTGTGATGAAGGCAAAGACATTTCTATATACAGTGGGGCAAAAAAGTATTTAGTCACCAATTGTGCAGGTTCTCCCACTTAAAAAGATGAGAGAGGCCTGTAATTTTCATCATAGGTATACCTCAACTATGAGAGACAAAATGGGGGAAAAAATCCAGAAAATCACATTGTCTGATTTTTAAAGAATTTATTTGCAAATCATGGTGGAAAATAAGTACTCCACGCAAGATCTCACCCTGTGGGGTCAAAATGATCACAAGAACGGTGAGCAAAAATCCCAGAACGCTGCTTGCCTATTGCAGATTCAGTCTTCCCAGCCTGGTGCAGGTCTACAATTTTGTTTCTGGTGTCCTTCAACAGCTCTTTGGTCTTGGCCATAGTAGAGTTTGGAGTGTGACTGTTTGAGGTTGTGGACAGGTGTCTTTTATACTGATAACAAGGTGCTGCTTGCCTATTGCAGATTCAGTCTTCCCAGCCTGGTGCAGGTCTACAATTTTGTTTCTGGTGTCCTTCAACAGCTCTTTGGTCTTGGCCATAGTAGAGTTTGGAGTGTGACTGTTTGAGGTTGTGGACAGGTGTCTTTTATACTGATAACAAGGTGCTGCTTGCCTATTGCAGATTCAGTCTTCCCAGCCTGGTGCAGGTCTACAATTTTGTTTCTGGTGTCCTTCAACAGCTCTTTGGTCTTGGCCATAGTAGAGTTTGGAGTGTGACTGTTTGAGGTTGTGGACAGGTGTCTTTTATACTGATAACAAGGTGCTGCTTGCCTATTGCAGATTCAGTCTTCCCAGCCTGGTGCAGGTCTACAATTTTGTTTCTGGTGTCCTTCAACAGCTCTTTGGTCTTGGCCATAGTAGAGTTTGGAGTGTGACTGTTTGAGGTTGTGGACAGGTGTCTTTTATACTGATAACAAGGTGCTGCTTGCCTATTGCAGATTCAGTCTTCCCAGCCTGGTGCAGGTCTACAATTTTGTTTCTGGTGTCCTTCAACAGCTCTTTGGTCTTGGCCATAGTAGAGTTTGGAGTGTGACTGTTTGAGGTTGTGGACAGGTGTCTTTTATACTGATAACAAGGTGCTGCTTGCCTATTGCAGATTCAGTCTTCCCAGCCTGGTGCAGGTCTACAATTTTGTTTCTGGTGTCCTTCAACAGCTCTTTGGTCTTGGCCATAGTAGAGTTTGGAGTGTGACTGTTTGAGGTTGTGGACAGGTGTCTTTTATACTGATAACAAGGTGCTGCTTGCCTATTGCAGATTCAGTCTTCCCAGCCTGGTGCAGGTCTACAATTTTGTTTCTGGTGTCCTTCAACAGCTCTTTGGTCTTGGCCATAGTAGAGTTTGGAGTGTGACTGTTTGAGGTTGTGGACAGGTGTCTTTTATACTGATAACAAGGTGCTGCTTGCCTATTGCAGATTCAGTCTTCCCAGCCTGGTGCAGGTCTACAATTTTGTTTCTGGTGTCCTTCAACAGCTCTTTGGTCTTGGCCATAGTAGAGTTTGGAGTGTGACTGTTTGAGGTTGTGGACAGGTGTCTTTTATACTGATAACAAGGTTAGGTGACCAAATACTTATTTTCCACCATGATTTGCAAATAAATTCTTTAAAAATCAGACAATGTGATTTTCTGGATTTTTTCCCCCATTTTGTCTCTCATAGTTGAGGTATACCTATGATGAAAATTACAGGCCTCTCTCATCTTTTTAAGTGGGAGAACTTGCACAATTGACTAAATACTTTTTTGCCCCACTGTATATATATCTTTTTCTTTACTATATTCCTATTTTTCTTTCTTTTCTATTTTGTTCTTTTCTGCACCTTCTATTTTTTCTTTTTATTTTCTTTCTTTAGTTTGTATTAGTTTTCATCTTTGCAATTGCAATTTTTAATCAAATTGCTATTAAAAAAATAAAGCAAAATGAAACATGAGGCATGCACAAACATAAATTAGCCTGGCCATCATGGTGATGCAAAGTAAAAAAATTGATGAACACTCCTGTTGAAAGAAAAAGTATTTGCAGCAGTGTGCTTTTATGATGTACAAATGAAGTACAAATTTCTTCTATCTTTCTCTTTCCCTCATTTGTGCAGAGTGGACTTAAAAAATGGCTTGAAAAAAACATGTATCACTTGTGATCCAAAGGAAGAAGGATGTCAGTATTTCTCTGTATCCTTCAGCACAGATGGACGGTACTATAAACTGAATTGTTACGGTAAGTACCACAGACCCCCATCGTTACAGAAATGCAGTTTGATAATTAAGATCCTAATATTTACATGACGCTTAGCCAATCCATGACTCCAGGAACTACTGTTGTTTGGATGGCCCCAACCACAAAGCTTTTTAGATTCTTAAGGGGACATCTGGGTCATGCCCATGATGATTGAAGAGTGATCACCATTTGGCATTTATTTTTACTGCATTTTTATTCCTGCTTTTCCTCTAAGAAGTCAAGGCAGCTGATTCTGTTAGAAACCATTAACCTCACAGGAACAAGCTTATGATATAAATTGAGCTGAGAGAAAGTGATTGACCCAAAGTCACCCAGCGAGTTTCAGAATCAAGGGCAGATTTGAAGCTAGGTCTCTCTGGTTCCAGTTGTCACTGAAACCCAAGGGTGTCAAACTCAAATCATCATGACAGCTACATGAGAACTAATTCATTAGTTCAAGGGCTGCAATTATGGCCTTATACATTGATGTGAAAATTTCCAATGGCTTAAAAATGAAGAATATTACAGTACATCATTAAACATGAAGTTATTTTTAAAAGACCTATTGGAAAACAGAGTTACTTTTCCTCCATTTCACTTTGGCTGCCTATCTGGCAGCATTAACCAGAACAGCAGTAATTGGTTTGGCTGCTGTTGAATGACAGCATAAAACTCTTGAACCTAATCATCTGTAGTTTGGCAGAATTTATCCCCTTAAAAGAGGCAACTACGCCTGAATATTAGTTCCACTTCTGCCAAGAAGTAAAAGGATATTGGCCATCCCTACATACTTCGTAGGACTGCTGTTTGTCGAAAGAGGCCAGCAGGGACCAGCCATTGGGATGTGTGTGTGTATGACAGGGGTGCGGGGAGCAGGAATTGGATAGGCCAGTGCTGCTCTGGCACCCACACCCAGGCATAGTGTGGAAGATCCCTGGAGGCAGAGCTCCACAGAGAATATGGTAGCTTCTTTGCCTCCACCACAAGCAGCAGAGGGCGGCTGGAGAAGTTGCATTAGGAGTGCACTCTTGTCCTTGACACTTGGGTGGAGATGGCATTCCACCACTACCCTTGTATTGGGAGACATGCTCCTCTCTTGCCCATGTTTGTTGGAGTTTGCTGCCCCTGCTACTACTGCTGCTTTTCATGTTTCCCAAAGCAGCCATTTTCTTGCACCCTAACAGCTGTAGAGTGCAAGGAGGCCCTGACCAGTGCTAGGCTGGCCTTACTTGCCCTTCTCCTCCCCCCCCCCCGTGCTGGGAGAAAGTTTAAAGGCAGCAGGGGTTCGCCACCCCCCGCCCATGCTTCCTGATGATTGAGCCAACAGGTCTCAGCCCTGTCCCTTAGCACAGAGCTGTGAGCACAGCCACACTTTCTTCTTAGCAGAGAAGATCCGTAGCAGCCAATCAAGACTGCCTGCCTTCCAGCTGTTTGCAATGTATGTCAGTAAGATAGAGGTGACATAATAATATGGGCCTCATGTTGTCCATGGGCCATAAGTTTGAGGTCCCTGTTCTAATCACTACACCATACTTTAGACATCCATATAACAGGTGAGAAGAGCAAAACTGATTTCTGATTAGTCAGAACAGAAAGACATACCAAAAAAACCCCCCCCTCTAATGTCCATCTTATTAGCCGATATTATGATTGGTGTTAATTTGTTCAAGGGAAAGCACTTTTATGTATTATGTGTTGTAGAACAGAAAGAAAAAGATACACCAATGACCAGCTTGTTTCATAATCAGAAAGTTGATATGATGATTGGTATTAATTGATTCAAGTGCATGCACTTTTTTTATTCAATCATTTTAAATATATTTATGGATTACACGTTGTACCCCACTAAATAATCTTTCCACTAAAATAGTGATCAAAGCTGCAAAGGAAGAAAATCCAGAATAAAATTCAAAACATAAGAACATCTCAATCAAAACACACAATTTCTACATTGACAAGAAATAAAGAAATAGCACTAACTGGATTAAAATTAACTTCAGTGAAAAGTTAGTTTAGTTAATTGAATTTTTTAACACTCTGTGAATAACAGGTCCTGGGCTGCCCTACTTCACCTTGCAAAACGGCACTACAGACAAAGGTATTTTATTTTATTTTATTTTATTTTTCCTTTAGAACAGTGTGAATGGATGTCTTTTGGGGGCTATTTATCTGTTAGAGTTTGTAAAAAATTTTTTTGTCTATACATATCTTGCAGTAAGACCAATTATACATAGTTGGTTTTATTCTGATATGCACGTGTATAAGACTACACTTTGATGATGTAATCCAGTGACTCCCAGTTGGGTGCCGTACATGTGTTGGACTTCAATTCCCATCACTCCTGAAAGCAATTCAAGGAGCTGTCTGTCTGTAAACAGTGGGATCTCTAGCCTAACGTGTCCACGGGGCACCAATTTAAGAAAGCTTGATTTTTTTTTTCTTTTGCATGTTTAGTTAGAAACAGATCCAAGGGGTAGAATGAGATTTATTAAAGAAGCTGTAACTGTAGCGTTAAAGGTGTCAATCTAACATGCCACTATAATTTGTACAATTTGATGAGAAAAAAATGGTAGAGTCCTACCCTGTGACTTTGTTTCGAATAACCTGTGCAGAATAGCTTAGAAGCCATGGGTTGGAACCTATCATTTTCCTGGGAGAAGTAGGTAAAGTGAGTCAGGAGTCCATCAGCCCACTCTCTGAAAACTCAGCAGAACTGGAACAAATTTGGTGTTGGAGGAGAAAGCAGCAAAAGAAATACCAGGTTCAAAAATGGGCTAGATAAGGCTGGAGATAGCGGAGGAAAAAAATGCAGAAAAATACCTCCTAATGCAGGAGTCAGCAACCTACAGTCTGTAGGCTAAAGGTGGCCTGTCACCTGATCTTATCCAGCCTGTGGAGAGAGTGGCCATCTGTTTGGCTGCTCTTGCGAGCACTTCCCACTTCCTTCGGTGGCCATTTTGGTAATGGCTTCACCAGCCACTTCGGCACAGGCAGAGCAACAGCCCCCCCCCCCCGCCCCCCCCCCCCCCCCCCCCCC